TGACATGTGTACCACGAATTGGCATATACATTAGCGAGTACAAATTTGTCAAACAAAGTTTGGGCATCACTTTAAAAAACACTTCGTGGATCGTCCTACCCTCCCCTACCATCAACAACCTTTTACCCATCCCACTTCCCTCTTCCCACCCTTCCAATCCATTGACTTAGGATATGTGATGCAGCTCATCCAATGACCTGCGCAATCCCGATTACACCCTTCGCCTTTGTCCTATGTGGGGTGCTATTTCCTACAAATCCAAACACAGTCCATTACTGCTACAGTACACCGAAGCAGGTTCTGCTTTGGCAGCCCTCCAAGCAATCCAAATACTTGCGCCTGTGCTTGAGACCTCGGTTTTGCCACTGGAACATTTCCTTTTTTTTTTTATCCTCCTATGTGCCTCATTACGATTATGAACAATCAGTCTGCCATCAATATGATCAATGCTAAGATACCCAACGGATCGGTCCCGGCACATTTGCGGTTCAGCATTTTGCCATTCAAGATGGAAAGATGCCGGTGATATTACATGCGGTACATTCCTGGGATTATAAATCCCTCTGATGACCTCACCAACCCTTAGGCTGGATTCTTCACAAACGCCATGCCCGCCGGCTGATGGTCACTTTTAACCTTTATTTCTTTTTCTATATTCAGAGACTTCCATTGGGGTTGCTGTCTTCTCTATGTTCTGCTTCTACTCTATGCTACCTCTTGTTTCGCTCCTTCCTTCCATTTGCTCTACTTGGTGCTTCGAACTGCTCCGCAGTCCGAATCAGGGGAGGGTGTCACGCGACTTACAGTCTGTCAGTCAACCGGTAGCCACAGAGGATCGATTAGCGATCCTCTCACTCTTTTCATTTCTAGTTCTTTGTTACATACAAGTTACTAGTCGTAGAGTCCTCCGACAACTGTTACATTTATGTAGTAAAGACATTTCGTTTGAAAACAACGAAGTCTCACAAGCAAAGAAAGAAAAACCGGGCGTTGGCATTTCCATAGATTTGCACGGCGACGCCGATCCGTTTATCTCAACCCTTGCGTGGTTAGATGGGGGCAGACTCGGATGTGTGCAGTCTGTCCTGAGCTGCTTCCGTTCCGAGCCCTTTGCCTTCTTGTCGTCCTTGTCATGTTGCACAGCGAATCGGTTGTAAGAAGACGCACACAAACGACTGAATATGATGCCGATGTCGTAATGTAGAATTGCATGCAGATGTAATAGGCATTGGAACCTTCAGGTAACGGAACCTGGTCCCAAGCAGAAGCGGGCACTAGAAATCATGTGTACACACGGTCACAGCAGGCAACTCCTGCCTCGTGCTCCTGACCAGAGCCATTTCTTTTACAAGGAAGCGCCCCTTGTACAAGAAGGATTTGTGTCGCTACTTCCAGCAAGCTCTAACTCTTGCTTGCCAAGGACCTTCAAGAGCTCAAAGCACGTCCGAATGGCGATTCCATGAGGAGACTGAGACAGCGGTTGCTGCATGTACTCAGCAGACAATTCCAAGATTGTTCCCAGCACACTATCCCGCCGTTGCTCGGGAGTGTCTTGCGGTTGCTGCTGAGATGGCGGTGCTTGCTCCTGCGGAGGCGCCATAGGTTGCTGTATCGCCAGCGGCTGTGGTGGCAGGGTCGGATGTTGAGATGTCATGCCGTACTGTTGAGAAGGCGTACTCTGTTGCTGCTGCTGGGGTGACTGCTGCTGAGGTTGTCCTTGGTTTCCTTGCATCTGCGACATCAAACTGCCCAGAGCAGAAACCATGCCGCTGTCGATGCCACCGTTGTTTCCCGTCAAAAGGGTGTTTAGTGCTTCTTGGAGAGCATTGGCGTCGGGCTGTTGCGGCGGAAGCACGGTGCCATTAGTCGCAGGGGCTGGAGCGGCTGGCATTTGCTGGTGGTTGTTCTGCGCGGGTGGAACTTGTGGTTGTAGCGCAGGACCCGCCATCCCAGCCGTGCTATTGGTCGGTGTTGCCTGTGAAGGCGCAGGAGGAGCGGGCACGGACCCGTTCAGGAAGTTCTGCAAGTTCTGTATCATGGAGTTCAAATCAACGTTGCCTGGTGGTGGGGGTACTTGTGGGGCTGCAGCTGCCACATTGCTATTATTCTGCTGAGCTTGAGCTGGTTGTTGCTGCTGGACTTGAGCTGGCTGCTGCTGTCCTTGAGCTGATTGCTGATGTCCTTGAACTGGCTGCTGCTGTCCTTGAGCTGGCTGTTGCTTCTGAAAAGAAGACATCAGCTGTTGGAGGTTATTCATCATCATCATAGGTGCTAGGTTGGCATTGTTCCCAGCGTTTGCCATTGGTTGCATAGGGTTGATATTCCCGTTGCCGTTACTTCCAGCAGCGAGGTTTGCCGGTTGGGGAGGAACCATGAACTGACCCATAGGATTCGATGCTCCATTGTTTCCGTTACTTGCTGCGAATTGAGAGAAGAACTGTTGCATCTGGTTGCCGTTAGGCATGCACTGTGGCATGGGCACGGGGCCATTGCTGGATGTCGCCGTGGGGGGTGGTACTCCCATGCTACCGGTAGGCCCCACAAGAGGCGCCATGGGCGGAATATGGTGAGTACTACCATCGCTATTCCTCTGGCCAAACAACTGCTGCCTTGCGTAAACGTCCTGGACATCGGAATCCATGCGCATGTGCTTGACCAACTTGGGATCCTCCTTCTGGAACAAGCAGTTCTTGTAGAGCACAGCTCCATTCGGGACATTATGATAAGGCACTCGTCGAAAGCCCCTGATGGGAGATGAAGCAGGACAACGAAAGTTCAGGTTGGGTTTCAAGAATGTCTTGATGTCGTTTTCTGTAGCTGAATGAACACTTACCATCGATTAAAGTTGCGTAAGAAAGCACTGTATTTGTTGCCGGAGAAGTGTGTGTGCAAGATGGTCCCCTTCTTGAGCTTTTTTGGCTGCAAGGCGACAGATTTGGTTTCGCCGTCCCACCAAATGGCCTCTGTATCAATGTCACTCTCGAGTACATTCATGAGCCTCTCGGCAAAGTTCTTGGGGGCCGGGAAACTGAGCGGCATTCCGTCCGAAGCCGCGGTGACGACTGCGGCAGGAGCGACGGCAACAACTGGGCTTTCATTACTTGAAGAGGACGACGACACATTCCCGTCGCTTTCTTGAGAGGAAGCCTCAATGGGGGCACTCGCCACTCCTGCTACTGCCACACCCACACCCGGCGCGGCCTGACCGTGCTGGTCGTTCTTGTTGTTGTGGTTGTTGTCGAGAAGATGATGTTGTTGCTGCTGTTGTTGCAACTGCGAACTGGCCACTTGAGAAAGGAAATCGAGAAATGGGACCTGCGGAGCTGCAGGAGGAGGACCACCGCCTGTAAGGGTAAGGCAGAGAGTGTGTGCAACAGGGCAAGTCAATCGAGATGAGAGCCTCCCACTGCGGTAACAACAGGAACTCGTGAAAGTCACTTAGCATCATAGCATCATACCTGGTCCCCCGCTGCTTCGACCGCTATTGTCTGGCACCTCCACTGCTTGCCTATTGTGACGCCGAGGATCTGGGTTGTCTTCTGCTTGTCTCTTCATCGTTGCTAGCTAGGATTTCACTGCATTCACTGCTTGAGTACCGGTATATGCGTGCCTTTTACTGTGTGGTTGCCAACTGCGGAAAGATACCGGTAGGAAAGTTGTCTGGTTTTTTCAGGCATTTTGCAGCCAGTCCTCAATCGATGGGGCAATCACCATCCCCCAAGGCAAACCAAAAGCACAGAGAGCCAGCCATCCATCTTATTCTACGCAGGTCCTGGTAGACAATCACGTTGCCCTGCAAGCCACGAAAGATACTTCTTCCGTGTGGGGCTTCTTATTTGACAACAAACTGCCCAAATGCATGAGCGGAAGCAGAAATCCTCGAGATGTGACATTCATTTCAAAGTGTAAATAGAGTAAAGAACCGGAAGACGGTTGGAAGCTGACATCAGCTGAATCAGCTGGCTCGGCTGTATTTTTAAGGCTACTGAAGCCCAAAGAAAAAATTTGCGGTCTCCAGTCGCGTAACTCTGTCGCCTGATTCTGGCGCCTTCTCAAAAAGTCAATGAAGATCCAGAGTCGTAACGACTTGAACCAACCGCCTCAAAAAGTGAGACTCAGCTCCCAGCCTTTAGTCTAGTCTTGCTGAGGACGATCCGGGATGATGCGGGCCCTTCCAATGTCATGATCCTGCCAATCCTGCCAAGGAGCCAATAGTCTGCTCCAGCACTTTGAGTTCTATCATCTTGCCGTTGATGGAGTCTTCGGTTCTTCGTTCCTCGGTTTTGCAGTGGCAGATCCCAAACTGTTTGTCGAACAAATGACGGAACGTGTAGACGACGAAAGTCAGCACATCTGTTGGCATTGGAAGCTCTACGATGTGCTCAAGTGTGTTGTATAAGTACTCGTACCTTGTAGAGTAGCTGCCCCTCTAAAATGAACTGTCCGTGAACGACTTCCAAAAGGAGATAACCGAAATACTCTCCTAACCAACTTTAGGAACAGTTCCTTGAAGATCTGGATATTATTCTTGGTGGTCACGATCTCTAAAAGGCAGACCTTCCAACATTAGACTAGTCTAATCACTAGCTAATCACTCAGTACTTTCCCTTGTAGCTCCCTCAAGAGCAGCTCCTAATTAATCGATAGTCAGGTCACTTGTGGTCATGAATCGAATCTTTCCAAGTCACGGAATAAGTCTCATGGGTGACATGTCGACAGCCAAGC